GACTTTTAGTTCTGAATGGATAGTGTACACTGGTCAAAATTCTCTTCAACATACTTCTTCAATTTTTTACATTATGATTACAAAAGAGAAACAAAATTAAACATGTGCACACATTTGACTGCTACAAAAAGCATGTCATATAAATGTTGTATTTAAATGATCCTAAAGCTTCCTAAATCATAATTTACCCCTAAAAAACATTAAAATGCAGCACGCATTTTACGATCCTCCAGCTCTTTTCTTATTTGCAAGTGTTTATTGACACTGATTTTTAAAAGAGTTACTGATTTTAAAGAATTGTTTCTAGCAAACTGAAAACAAGGCCCTTTCCTAGGTTAGCTCTGTCTGGGTGTCTCAATGCCATTAGAAACCTCTCACAATTGCTCAGTGTACTTAAGTTTGATAAATCTTTGGAAACCCTCTGAATAGGATTGCTGTGATTTTACTAAGGAATTAGCTGCTGCCATTGCATCACCAATTAGTTTTCCAGAACACATTAAATCCTGCTGCTTTGGTTTACAGAATAACTCAAGCATTACTGATGAAGCATAAAAACTTACTTGGAAAAGCAGTGGGGGATGCAGGGTGCTGACAGGACCCACCGCAGCATGCTGAGTAGAATGGCGGGGCTCGGAGAAAAAAGTGTTTGGAAAGAGCTGCAAAGAAAGCATAGATCTAATTGATTATCCATTACGCTTAGGTGATATTCATAACAACAGTCCTCCAAAAAGTCAGTGTGTAAAGTCCTGCCCCACAAGCTCTTTTTCCTTTTCTCAACATGGTGATATTTTTAAGGCAAACAATGATAAACCAAGTAATTGCTCTTTAATTTATCAAGGCTATTTTACATGTGTAGCTTACTATAACATGCAAAACTCTCCCCATATTTATAAGAATGAAGCTCTGCAGACTAGAAATTTCCTTCTGTAATTGCTGTAGTTGAGTTTTCCTAAATATTGGCATTGAACACATTGCTTCAATAGTATGTTGTTGAAACAATTAATATAATGAATCTGAAAGTTATTTAAAATAACCCTAGTACGCATGCCATCTTGCAAAAAAAAAATCAGCTGGTACTCCAATGCTGTTAACAGCACTCAAACCAATAATGTCCTCAATAAGAAACCTTTATGAATAAAATTTAGAAAATGCCATGAGATGAAACAGCTGAGCTCTATAGGCACATACTACAGGGCCTGATACTGTTATTCTGAGTGTCAACTTAGTCTTGCTGGACAAGTGCTCTAAATTTAAATAAACTACTTGCTGAAGGCTCTGCTAGATACAACAAAAAAAAATCGGCAAAGTCAACTCACAGAATTAGGTAATATTTGGTAATTTTTAAATGGAATTTTTTAAATCTCTCATATCTAAAAAGGGCTTTCAAATCATGGAAAGGTCTTCATTATCTATTTGTCTCTCAATTTTTTTTCCATAAGGCTCATGGGCTTTTCCATTAATCTTAATTACCCATCAATTTCTGCTTATACTCATCAACAATGAAACCTGGAATAATTTTTTGTTGTGAAAAAGATACATCATTGCTAGATCTGTACACTTGTAAAATGAGATCAGTATCAAAACATCTATGTCACTTTTTGTTTCCGTTTAGGCAGAAAATAAGTGGATCTAGAGCCTGTACTGTAGTTGTCCAAATCTCCAGAAAAAAAAAATTAAATTAAAAAAAGTAACTGCATAAGTCAGTAAAAAACTTAATAAATCAACAATCAGAAAGAAAGGTAAATAGATAAATGTATCAATGTATCTAAGCCATGCTGCTAATTTTTTTAAGTTTTTCAACTGCAATTAAAAATAAAGATCATTCAAAATTAAATTTCTGAGTATGTATTAGGACCTCAAAATAAGTTTTGTGATCCTTAAATTTGCTGTTATCCCAGAGCAAAAAAATTATTGCTGTAAAATATTTGCTTAAGAAGTATGATGCTGGTGATATTCTCATGAACAAAGAGGTTCCTGAGCTCACTTCTCAAGATTTGGTTTAGATCCTGCGAAATAAACAATGCCATGATGTCTCTCTATGCCTATAGCCAACATGTATGTCCAGTTCATAATCTTTTTTAATGTGCTGCAGCTATACTGATGCACAGGTGAATACTACATTATGTACATGAAACTACATCCCTACATTTACTGAAGCTGTTGCATTCAAACCAATGTGCAGCAGTTTTGCAGAGTTACATCAGTAAAAAAAATGTGACATAATACAGGGATATTCAATTCTGTCTTGGGAGTTCTACACACAGAAAAATATTAATGCTTCAACATAACATATCCAAGTATATTTTTTATATTTGATAGAAACAACACAGTTCATCACATTAAATGGCTTCCACTACCTGTATGAAACTCCATTAACAAAATTAAAATTGTCCAGAATTATACTGGAATTATACCTGTAGAAATGACATAATATAGTTTTGAAAACTATATAGAGGATGGACTAACTATTATTTTCTTTTCACATACATCACAGTAACTCTATCAATATCTGCTGATCAAGAGACCTAAAGCAAACACTCCTTGCTATTCACACAAGGCTGAAAATTGCTGAGATGTCAGAATATTAATTATGCAATTTTTTGGCCAGAATGAGACATAGTAACCAAAAGGCAGCTGCTGCTCCCAAAGATGTATAGGAACCTAAAGCAGGGGCAAAATCCTAATAATTTGTACTCTGGACACTTAGGCTTTTTCTGCTTTATATCTTCATTTCATAAAACTGAGACGGTGTGAAACTAAGTTTTTCACAAAACTCAGTCTTTACAGGTTTAGCTTCACACATGCATGAAAAATATCCAAGTATGATTTAAGTGTCTTTTGACACTCCAAAAACTGTACTATATACCTTAGAAGAAAATGTATTGCATCATATATACAAAAGTATTAAATACCTAGTTTTGCTTTTTTTTCACAAAAATAATACTTTTGACACTGATGCTGTTATGCAAAATTTTATTAATAATGTTCATTACATTTACCTTTGTGAACAGAAATCATTTTACAGACAATAAAATAATACTAAACACGTAAACGGACCTCAAGCTTATCTAGTGCTAAAACTCAGAAAGCAGTTCAGATATTGATATTTTAAAATACACTGCCTGCTCTGAAAGTATTCTAAATTGAAAAGTCCTTCCACTATAAAAAGTCATACTGACAATGGGATTGGAAGTTTTCCTTCCAGCTACCCATCATTTTGAGAGTAAGGTTCCTAAATACAGCCCAGCTCAGTTATGCACTTTTGAAAATGGCTTATTATTTAAGGACACTGTTTACTCTTTCTAATTCTACTGTTGTGAAATATCAGGCATCAGGAAAGTGGGAAGGCGTGAAAGAAAAATGGCTATTGAGGGAAAGTGAAACTGATGGTAAACTTCTGGTATTATCCATACGGATTCCTTCACTGGACATGCTGCTAGTTTACTGGGGGGCCACTGATAAAAATGTAGTATCAACCTGTGAAGAGAGCTGGAACATGTCCAAAAAAATTATTCAGAAAACTGCCTAGAGCAATCTAACAAAACTAACAACAGGACCAGAGAGACCACAAGCTGCATGAACACTTCAATTCTCCAAGTCCACATGAATTGCTTTCCACTGTGACACCTAGGTTCCAGCCCTTGCAGGAAACTTAAATATAATTATCAGTGGCTCCTACCCTCTCCATGCCTCCTACACAGCCTTGCTATTGAGAAGATGGGAATCTACCTGTGGATTTACTATTTTTTTTCTGTTTTTGTCCTTCCTCAGGATGCCCATGTACTAGTGTGCAACAGCACTTTACCAGTTCTTGTCAAAACAGGCATCATTGTAAGTTCTCTGTCTAAAAGTTCCTTGCCCAAGTTCCTTGTCTGGGCCTCCTATACAGTCAATGAGAAGAGATAAGTAGCTCTACATAACCAGTCATCACCTTAAAACAGACACAGAAGGAGTCTCTCCCTCTGTAGGCATCTCTCTGTATTAACTACAGCTTAGACAAGACACCTACTTTTTATTTAACAGGTGAATTACCATGACATTCTTCTTATCCCTCACAGGTAACAACAAAAGAATACCATCATCTATACAGGCATAAATATTCTAAAATATGTAAAAATTCAGCTAGAAAGTAATTAGTTATTTTCTTTGTTTCTCAATATAATAGAATTTGTTTAGAAATTATTTCCTCAAGCATGCAAAATTAGGGTCAGCTGCTGCAAGCTGACATTTCATTGTGTTTTCATTGTTGCAGCATTAATTCAAAATCTTACAATAGGCCAAAATGCATCATTTATTCCTGTGGTTTGCACTGATTAGCCAAAATTTTTTACCTGGAATAGTCTTGTTGCAGCATTGCTAGCTCTGAACAGACAAAAGTCTCAAGATAATATAAACAGTGTTAGAATAAAAAAAATAACACGTTATTTTTTCTTTTTTTTTTTCTCTAACAAAAGGGGTTTAGTATTTTTACATTTGTACAAGGAAATACTTTTTCAAGTTGAAACTTGAGATATTCACATAGTCACAAGGAGGAACATTCTCAACACACATTCAGAATACATCAAGAGAATATGTGCTACAACTGCAGACAAAAGCAGCCTCTCATGAAAAAAATTTGTAAGCTTTTCAGCACAAAGCAAAAGCCACTTCTCCAGAGTGATAACTCACCTCCAAGAAATACAGTCCAGTTTACTGAAAATATTTGTATGTGTAATTTTATAAATTTCAGGGTCTGACATTTGAAACAGTCTCCTACTGCTTTATGTACCTGCAAATGTTTTCATTAAAAAAAAAAAAAATCTCCCCTTTCTGCTGTGGGGTCATGACTGACCACAAAAGTACCATGTAAAACATCAGTTATTTTGAGAGCTGCTTTATGAAAGAATGCAAATCACCTTCATTAGGCAATGGAAGCAGAGAACTTGCCTTCCAAAATTTAAGAGGATTTTTTAACAGCAATACAGACACAGTACAATAAAACCTAACATCTGCACTTGAGTTTGCCTGATGAGATTAATCCTTACCAAAGCCATGTATTTTCTAAAATCATGAGGAATATACTACAGGATTTCAGAAGACCAGCTCTTTCTGCCGTACAAAATGCATTTTACAGAAGTTAATTCACTAACTGTAGGCATGACTGATACCATGGTTTCAAAACAGTCTATTTCTTTTCTACAAACTCCACCTCTTGTCTTCCTAGCAAAGCTCTGAGATGTTCTGGTAGTATCTAAATCTTGCCAAGGACGAAACACGGGATCCTCTTCCTTCTAAGAGACGGCACCGTGAGAGTAGCCAAAGGAAGTTGCAGTGTCCAGCCAGTGCTCATATTCCTCACTCAGCACAGACTGCCAGACTAGTGGCTGGGTCGGAGAGTAGCTGGCACTAGTCTAGCTCTGGCAACCTCACAATAAGGACAACAGTTTGTCCTTTAAAAGCCATTTTGCAGCCACTCTTAAAATATGCTGGGCATTCCAGACCAATTCTATTAAATGGCTCACAAAGTTAACTGGAAACAGGAAACGTGCTAGTCTGCGATTTCTAATACTTACAAAAACTTCTTTGCTTCCAAAGACAAACTTTCAAAACAATTACAGCGTCTCAGTGCTCCTGGCAATCAGGGAATAAGAAAAGATGCCAAATAGATCTCCCCACCTTAAAGAAGCTTTCTATCTCCAGAAAACACCAAGAAAACAAGAAAATCCTAAAACTTGTCAGTCATCTTGTTGCCTGAGTTAGATGAGTCAAGACAAAACATTGGGCTCTTTCCTGTCTTTTATTTTACTTAAAGCTAGTGTTACATGTCGCTTGAGGACAGACCCTGGCTGCCAGTTGGCTTGAAATCAATAATTAATAAGCATTAATTCACTAAGAGGAGATCCAAATGGAAGAAAAAAATATCACTTAAATTTCAGTAATTTAATTATCTCCTGGTTGCCATAAAGAAACACAAGACACTTTATAAGAAATAAGATATGTTTGTAAGTATTACAGGATAGAATTGGTGTCATCACCCGAGAAGGAAAAAATTGACATAATTTTCCAGAAACTTAGCCTGCAGAAGATTTGGTTTAATTTCCTTGCAATACTACCAGTTTTCTGTATTATCTTACATAAGTCACCCCATTTATTTTTGCTCCAGCTTCTCCTCTACACAATAGAAAGCTCTCTTATCTCACTGGCACAATGTGACAATAACTGCATCAAAATATAAAGTACCCAAATGTTACAAAATGAAAAGACACATCTATAGCACAAATGTATCTGGATATCTATAAAGTACATCTGTAGATGCTTACTCTAAGTCAAATTTATATTTACTGTACAGTTCTTCTGATTTCTTTTGTGTTACACGTGCTGTCCTTCATCCTGCTCTATTGTATTCTGATGCTTTAGGCAAAAATCCCCTAAGACAAATTTCTCAGCAAGTTTTACAATTGAATTATGTGTTTGTTTTGTTGCAGCTTGCAATCTCCTTTCTCTGTTCATCTACAAAAATGCAAAAATTAAAGCAGAAAGCCAGATCCTTTCCACATGACCATATTCATGCTGTAAAGCACTTACTGTCAACCTCCACCAGGACAAATTACTTAAGAAGACAGAGATATTTACAAAAATTATTTCAGGTAGCAGAGTAACTTCACATTTCCCAAGGAGGTCACTCAGCTCCAGCGCCAGCCAATACTTCTGGAAACTAAGTCATGAGAAAATATTTGGAGTGGATCTCTTTATAGAGGTAGCACCTGTACTACAAGACACAGCATCTCAGTATCATCTGGCAAATTTTTATGTGTCAGAAAACACTGAAGAAAACTATCAAGAATTCTAATTTATCCAGAAGAGAACAGTAGGCTTGGAGTCAAGGGACTAAAACACAGATTAGCAAGAAGGAATTGAGGAGCAAAGAGCAAAGGGGCTTCAAGTGAAGTGCAAGAAAGACTGGGAGAATTCCAAGCCAGTATAAATTAGCACACCACTGCAGAAGGCTCATGAGTTTATCATATAGCAGTAATGCTCCTTCTACTTTTCCTTCCTGAGTTTTATATAACATACTCTTTGTTCATGCTCTTCTTAAAGGAAACCAAACTAATTTCAAACACCTGCAATGATTACATTGAATTTTTTTAAATTATATATGATATATGATTAAATATATATATAATCATATATACTATTAAATATAATGACGGAAAGTGATTATTTAAACTTTTACAGACAACAAATATATTTATGTCTACCATGCTTATTAGATAATATAATATTTAGGGTGTGACACTTCCTGAGTACTTGTTCAGTTTTTTATTCATGCTACTTTTGTACAAGATATACATAAAATACACATGCAGATAAGTACTTGAAATAGTCCAACTAATACTTTGAAACCTGTAAATTATGGGAAGGAAACTTGCTGATACAACTCAGTTGCTAAGGAGTTAGGAAAAGTCACCATGATCAGATAGCCCAGATCAAGAATGCCATCCCACCTGGTCTCCTTTGCCACCATGGATAAGTGTTTTCCAATTTACAGAAAGAATACAGGATTTACATTCTTTAGCACTTTTATGGAGTGTTAAAATGGAGTGCTTTCTTCATGTCTTTCCTTTGGATACTTACAAAAACGGTTCAGCTTATTCAGTTTAGTCCCTGGTGTGATTTTACACTTCTTTTTGAGAACTTTTGGTGACCTCACTAGAATTTGGGACTACATGAGTAATATACTGTTTCCAAAAAGTCTGGTACTTCTTCAATTTCCTTTTTTTTTTTTTTAATTAAAAAATAAAAGAAAACTTGGCTTATGCCAAACTAGTTTATCAGGGGACTTTTAGTCCCTGCATGACCTATAAAGCACTTGCTAGTTCAGAAAGATTTTTTGAAGAAAACTTGCTTTACAATTTTCAATAATCTTTTTTAAGACTTCAAGAAAGATTTTCTAAAATGCTATGTGATTTGGGGGTTCCAAATATGAGTTTATTCTTTAAAAAATATCAGTAAATTTAAAAACCCTACCTAGCACAAATTCTTTAGTTAAAATATCTTCACTAGTCCCTGAATGCTAAAATTTTTGTTCTGTCAAAATGCTCCTTTGCCCTATCACTGTATAAACAAGAAACATTACACACAGCCTGACCACCCCAGCCCTAGTCACAAATGCAGTGTCTGGTCTGAACAGTTTCCTCAGTATACGCCTACACCAGAGACAAGGGACTCCTTAGAAACCACAAACTGGCTCAGCAAGACAGTTCCAATCTAATTCAAATTTGTGACTGTTGAGACAACCAAGTGTCCTCATCACTTTAAGACATACAAGTGAGATCAGAATCAACAGATCCCTGTTAGAATATAAAAGTCATTGTCACAAGTGTACAGTCACAGGAGAATTTTCTTCTGGGTACACAATGACTGAGGAAACACTAGTATTTCTCCCTGTTCAAATCTAAGAGCCTGGTGCATTTACCAAGATCTGTGGGAGCTGTGGAATTAGAAGAAGAATAGGACTGGACTCAAAATCACTAGTCAGACTTATCACACTAAAATCACAACTACTACTATGGGTCGATCAAAACAAGAAATATTCCTGGAAACAAGCATTTACAAAACTTGATATTTGGGAACTTCTGCAGCAATTTACTTATAGCTATTTAAAACAAACGAACAAAAACCCAGACAAACAAACTAACAACAACAAATAAAACCCAACAAAATACCTTTACCTCTAGCAAACAAGAGTGCTGGGGCATCTGCTAGCTTTTTTTCTACAAATAAATATAGCATTTTCTCTAGAACTTTTTTTCAGGATAAGGGCAAAGGGCTGGCAAGAATAATATTCACCGAATTGCAGGATGATGATACTTGTCCTGTTCCCTGACAGAGCCTATGGTTAAACACCTTTAAGTAACTGATAACGCTTAAGGTAACACTTACCTGAGAGGTCAGGAACATTCAGAAACCTTATTGTACACTTTGACTCTCTCCTGCCTACCTTTAAAGTATGTAATGCTAAAGGATCAAATACTGCTTTGGATTTTGAAGAACAATTTGCAGGATCTAACTGAAATAAAATTATGTTTGAAAAGAAAACAATTACTTCTGTTTTCAAAACAAGCCTTTTGGTTTCGCATCTCAAAGACTTAATTCAATAAATACAATTCTGCTCGTCTGATTTTCATTGTAAATGCAATTAAAACGGCGTGATCATAAATAAAAATTCATAAAATACCGCATAATATTGGAATCATTTATGCATTCTAATAGAAAAGTAAAATACTATATAGTATTTAGTATAGACTATACAATATAGTCTATATAGTAAAATACTATATAGACTATATTAACTACAATCAGTTCCATAACTAAGAGAAGTACACACTTCTTAAAATATGTTGCTCATGCCCAGACAAAATGTATTTATACGAAAATCGGCACATTCAAGAAAGTGAATGGGTTTTGAAAACCTGTGTGCTTCCAATTCCACGGCAGGGATTCCTGCGGGCCTCTGGCGGCCGCAAGCTGATCCCCACCGCCCGGCAGGGCGCTGGCTCTCAGTGTGACACCGGAATGAACGGCTGATAACGCATCTTTACAGCTCTTTAAAACTTTTTTTATATTTCCCCTGTCCCTGGTTTTGTCAAAGCTTCCAGAAAATAGCCTGTTCTACATGGCTTAATTCTCCTTTTGACAGGAGAGCCTTGCTGTCCCCCACGGCAGGGCGTGTATAGAAAAGGGCTGCTGCCTCCCGAGCTATCGCTAC